CAAGCAATTGATTTATTATGATCTTTGTGCCGTCAAACTTTATTGTTAATGTTATTCTGTATCTGCAGGTGCTCCCCAGCACATCACCACCTCAACTCTACCTCAAATCATCAAGCATTCGATTCTCATGAGGAGCATGCAGCCTAAATTCCTCCCATGCGCAGTTCACAATAGGGTTCCTGCGCCTGTGAGAATCTAATGTTTCTGCTGATCTGACAGGAGGTAGAGCTCAGGCAGTAATTCAAGCAATGGGGAGCAGCTATAAATACAGATGAAGTTTCACTCCTACTGCTCACTTCCTGCTGTGTAGCCCCATTCTTAACAGGACACGGACTGGTACCCATCCGTGGCACAGGGATAGGGAACCCCTGGTATAGACAATGAATTGGATGAGGCTCATAATCAGAAATATATGGGCAAAACTGTTATAAATAAATTATCAAGGCCAGCCTTGAAAGGGGTAAATTTCAAATGGGCAAAAGATAGCCTTACAAGATATGTTTGGAAGCTCAGCAGAGAGCGTTGGATTTCTTCAACTTGCTGATGATGGGGTGATTTTGATGCTGATAGCATAGCCTCATTTTTTTCTTCCTTTTTCCTTTTTTTAGTATGAGATGGAAGAAGTGACTACTTCTCACCATTTCCCTCCTGCTAGATCACTTGAATTGCTGCACAACCCAATGATCCCAAAAGTAGTTAGCTTTCCTCCTTCATAGGTGTGGCTTGCATCCTATGCCCTAGTGGCTGTTTTGCCCACTTGCTATGGGTGAGATTTCTTAGGGGCTGAGGTAGAAGGTAGGAAAGAGGAAGGTGGGACAGGGACACAATAGGAAAAAAGGGGTCCTGAGTAACTTGCAAAGAAATGAGGCAACACAATCAAGTGTCCACGAAGAACTCCTTCCTTTCCCTCCCTTGAGCAGCAAGCTTTATCTCTAGTCAAGTAGGTAGTAAGGATAGAAAGAAGACTGGTTTATCTAAATTCTTACCTGCTGGAGACTGTGGCTTCTTTCTGCTGCAGTCAGTTGATCCATCAGAAAATTTGGTGTTACACACCATGGGTTCTGACAGTTTAGGCAGGAGGAGGTTCGTTTTGGCAGTTCTGTTGGTAGAGAAGGCCAAATGAAAACAATGGCTGATAGTCTGCTTTTCATAGTCTTGGACAACAGCATTCTACAACACCTGGGCTGCCTTTGGAAATTGTGAGGAGGCACTAAAGAGCACAAAAATATTGTTTCCTCGTCTTACAAAAGCTCACATAAGAGTGACTCTAAATTATGTGCATGAGAGCAGCTTTAATTTTGGTTTGAGTTTGAATACAGAAAAAAATCACCTTGTATAAATTTCATGCGATTTGCTGAGCATATTTTGATTTGTATGTAGTTGCTTTTTTTTTTTCCTTGAGACAGAGTCTCACTCTGTTGCTCAGGCTGATGTGCAGTGGCATATTCATGGCTACAGCAGCCTTGACCTGCTGGGTTCATGTGATCCTTTTGCCTCAGCCTTCCAAGTAGCTGGAGCTACAGGCTTGCACCACCACAACCAGCTAATTCTTTGTTTTATTGCAGAGATGAGATCTCACCAATTTTCCCAGGCTGGTCTGGAACCCCTGGGTTTAGGCAATCCTCTTGCCTCTGCCTCTCAAATTGCTGGTATTACAGGTGTGAGCCACTATATCCTCCTGGAATTGCATTTTTATAGTGGAGTAAATCAGTCTGGACCCATAAATATGGGTGTTGTACTGAATTAAACTAAGAGAACAAAGAGATAGTGAAATTAGAATAACAAATGACAACATGACCAACAATACTACTATATCTTGGGGGATCTTAAAACTCCTGCTTTTAAGCTACAGCAGCATGGCAATAGATGAGTATGATAGAATACTGCAAAAAAAGAAAAAATTCCAGGTCTAGTATTTTTTAAGTTGATCTGTTTGAATCTATAAGCAAAGTACATTTTTCCATTTGTTTAACAGAATTGACTGTTGAAGGATATTATTTATTATTTACTAACAAGTACTTGTACCCCCAAATGTCCAAATTAGTTTATCATTTATTTTATTATTGATTAGGATGTATTTTGATAAGGATTCCAGACTTATGCTTAGAACAAATGACAGTAACATTCTTCACCTCCCAATTCTAGTATCTAGAATTGTGCCTGCCATACAGTAGTTGTTCAGCAAATAATTAGTGAATTAAATTACAGTAATTATGGTGTTCAATAAATGTAAAGCCAGAAAATAAACTCTATATGAAAATCAATCTTTGAAAAAGGAGAAAGCAAAATTTTAGATCAATTTTGTCAATAAAATGAAATATCTTAATATTTGATTTATATATACCTAACATAAATCTTAAAAATAATTAGATACAGCCTCAGTGTGAGCAAAGAGAAGGAACCATAATATAAGAAGAGTGGAAACGGTTTTACTTCGTGGCAGTTAGGACAGTTTGGGAACAAAACTTAGGTCTCCTGCATTTGAGTTTTATTGGGCATAGGCTCCTCGCTGATCACAGAATCAAGTTCAAACTTTTTTCTTTTTGCTTTTTCTGAGTCGGAGTTTCACTCTGTCTGCCCAGGCTGGAGTGCAGTGGCACGCTCCTGGCCACCGCAGCCTCGACTTGCTGGGCTCAAGCGCTCCTTCCGCCTCAGCCTTCCGAGTAGCCGGAACTACAGGCGCACGCCCGACTGATTTTTTTTTTTTTTTTTTGGTTTATTGTAAAAATGAAGTCTCGCCAAGTTGCCCGGGCGGGTCTCGAACCCGTGGGCTCAGGCAATCCACTCGCCTCAGCCTCCGAAAGCGCTGGGATTACAGGCTGAGCCACCGAACCCCGCCAAGTTCTAACTTTATAATGTGTTTCTGAAGAGCCGTTTGGGTTTTAGCTTTTGTTCGGGCCGCTCCCACCTACACATTTTGGGCGTCTGCCACGACGGTGTGCTTTTTCTTAGCTTGTCCCGCAGTTTTTCACTGACCTCTCCCTTCACCCTGAACTTTGTCCTCTGGGCTCGTCAGCTCCTCTAAAGCCTTCCCACGCCTCAAGGCCCCGTTTAATCTCCAGTGCCTTCAGGAAAGCTTCCCAGACTCCCTTTTCAGATGTAATTGCGTTCCCCCCTGTTTCCTTAGGCACTTTGAACTTCTAGCAGCCATTACATTCTAACATGGCGTTTTTACTTGTTCGTATTCCCTAACTAGATTGTGACCACCCTGCTGGGGAGGTTTATAAGTAAATCACTGCATCCAGCCCCTAGTCCAGTACCTGGTACAAAGAAAACACCCAGTCAAGGTTTGCTGAAACGAATCTAAATCCCAGAGGGGAAGGGAGAAGCGCCTGTGCCCAGCAGTAAAGGCCCTTCGTGACCTTAGGGGAGGCCTGTGGTGTAGCTGGGCCCCGTCTCCAGCGCTAGACTGGCAAGAGAACGTGGCGTGGCGCAAGCCTCCTGTAAATGCCTCTAAACTCCCTTTACTTCTTCCTTACTTTTATAGAAGGATCTGCAAGTTCTTCTCCAACCGCCTCGGGCCCCGCCTTAGAGGGAGGTGCAAAAGGGGTGGGGTTGGGATGCCCAGCCTCGTGGCAATTCTAGACTCAGCTTTCATTTAAAGAATTTTTCAAGTTTCGCCAATTCCAGTTTTAAAGTAGGGGCCGAGGGTGAAGAGGGTTTCCCATTGCGCAAATTTCGCGGTCTAGGGAAGGCTCCCAGCATTCGGAGCTTTGCCTAATTTACCCTGCCACATTCCCCACCGCTAGAAGCTACCAGCGCTCCTGGCCTCCACACCCAGCCGTTGCGGAGAACGGCGGTACTGCCCAGCGGTCTGAACCGCTTCCTCCTTCAGCCCTCTGGACAAACCCGGGACGGGCGTGTGGGGGAGCTCCCAGCCCGCAGTACCAGGTGGAGTGGCGGGACGGTTGGACTACAACTCCCAGGGTGCTCTGGGAGCAGTACGGGGGAGGAGGCGAGCGGGAGGGGTTTGAGGTAGGGTGGGGGGGTGGCAGGGAAATCCCGCCCCGCTGCGCAGCAGCAACGACACAAAGCCTGACTTTACAACCTTACAGAGAAAGTGGAAGTAAGAGGGCTTAGGTGGGGAGGCAGGTCGAGGGAAAGAAGGAGAGGAGGGAAAGCCGCGTAGGTGAGAGCGGAGCGGAGCGAAAGGAGTGGGGGACCCTCGCTTAGGAGATGAGAATGGTCGGCTTTCCCGAGTAATCCCCCCGCCCGCGCCCCGCCCCTCCCGCGCCGGGGTCTCCGCCGGGCGCTGCCGGTCTGCACTCTTCTCAGAGCCCGGCTCCTCCCCGCCAGGAAGCGGGGAGCCCGGCCGTCTCGCGGGCTCGGGGCGGGCCGGCGGGCTGCGCCGAGGCTCCCCAGCCCAAGTGCGGGACGAGAGCGCGGGGCGGCGCGGCTGCCGGAACGAGGAGGGGCTGCGAGCGAAGCGGCGCGGCGCGGCGCGGCGCGGCGCGGCGGACGAGTTAGGGCCGGGGCGAGGGAGGCTGTGGCTCCCGACTGAGACAGGGGAGCAGTGTCGGGCTGAGGCGACGTGAGGCACGGGGTGCCTCGGGAGG